TGCACTTACATACATGCAGGCAAAACACTCATACACATAAAAATAAAAATAATATAAAAGGAAGATATGAAAAAGATAGCTTGTATTAACAAACATCTCAGTAGCAAAAATGGAAGCCAAAAAGGGTTTTAAAACACTTCATTGGTCAAACATGCTTGCTCAAACTTGTAATTGCAGGTTGAGGCATAAGGATTGCTGCAAGTATAAGGTCATTCTGTGCTGCATAGTGAGTTCCAGGATAGCCTATACATGATGAAATCTTGCCTCAAACAAACTTCAAAGTACTGAAAAAATAGCTGTCAAACTGGTATAATTGACATATCTAAATCATCAGAAAAAAATAATGAAAAATAAAAACATTCTTAAATTCAAAACCAACAAAATAAAAATCATAGCAAAACAAAACAAAAATTTAAAAAATCTATCATCTTGATTTGATATTCTAATTTTTAAAAATATTGAAAGATGAACTAAGGAAATAGGAAAATATTTCAGGAGACACTCCATAATATAATTAGACAATGTAAACCAGAGAGTGTATTCAACAAGCACATTGATTGTCTAAATAGGAAGAACAACAATGTCAGGGCTCCGAGCCGTAGGAGCAGCAGCAGCAGCAGCAGCAGCAGCAGCAGTAGTAGTAGTAGTAATGTTAAAAATTTTGAAGAAGCAAATGTACAATAGTACTGAAATATTGGATAATAGTAAGATGTAAGGTGGGACTAAACTTTGGAGTTAAGCTTTCTAAGATTCTTGTATTAGACTATAGATTACTTACTAGATGGTTTTACTTTTTAAAAATTTTCATGCTAAAATTTAAAGTGCCACTTAATCATGGAATAAATTATAAAGCTTTCAGTGTAGTACATGCTTTCCACTGTATAAGAGTAAAGAATCATAGTCAATCCAAAGGCAGTCTGGAAAAGAGTTGTTGAGAACATGGAAAATAGAGACAGTAGAAACAAAATCACACATAGAAGTGATCCATGTATATCAGACTAATCTTGCCAGTCAAATTACCAAAAATTATTGCGCTAGATTTTAGAATACTTATATAAAATTTGAAGAAGAAACATAAGATAGAGACTATGGAGTGAAAGCAAAAGGACAAAAAAGATATGATCATGAAACACTCACCAAAGGAAAATATACACCAGGCAAACCCTAACCAACATTAAAACAGCATTCATCTCAGTTTAAGTAGCAAAGATTTGTGTTTCTCCTTTTCTAATGGAACTCTGTTTCCCTGGCCACCCAGCAAGAGGCTCTTTGCCTGGTGGGATACCCATGAGTTTAGAGCCAATGGAATGTGAACAGGTGGTAAGTACAGCTTCCTACCAAGCTCCTCAAACATGTAATTGCTTGATTTGGTTTTCTCATCCCTCTTCTAATTGGATGGAAAACGTAACTGCATCAAGAACCTTATTACCATGTTGAGTGTGGTGGTGCCAACTGCAGCACAGATATTTGTCAACCCTAGACTGGACAGTCACTTCTGAATTTTATATGCTAATGAAACACGCTTCCCTTAGGCTATTGTAGTTGAGATTTGCCTACTATGATTTAGTTTCTTTTTTTATCATGTGTCTGAACTTAATTCTTTTTTATAAAATCTATTATTGTGGGCGCTTGATCAGAAATATAAATTTTGTACTAGTATGCACCGACTACTATCTCTTCAAAATACATAAAATAAAAACTGGCAGTTGTAAGAACTATATTCTTGGGCATCAAGATACAAATACAAAATCCAAAACTTTAAGACTTTTAAAAGATATAATAGTATTTTTATGATGGGTAAGAAAGAATTTCTTAGATAAGGCACCAAAAAAAAAAAAAAATCAAACCCTTGAAGACTGGTAATTTTGAATATAAGAATTACCTTATATTACATTGATTTTTTTGATTAAAAACTCATCAAAATGCTATTAAAATATCTATACATACATAAAATAGTATTCGTAAATATCATATGGCATCAGTAAGCAAAAGACAGCCTCAGATTAAGACATGAGAAAACACTGAATAGAAAAAGAATAGCCAAGTAGTACTTGAAAAGATATTCAACCTCTTTTAGAAATCAGGGATATATATATGAATGTATATATATAGTATTCTCACACATGATAAATAAGAACAATACCAGTTGCTGAAATGTTGTTTAAAAAATTGGGTGGAGAGTCTACAGGCTCCTGGGAACTTGCTCATATGACCCAAGAGCAATGGTGCCAGCATGCATAAGACCCATGCACACTGAAAGAGACAAAAACCCAGCATAGAACTGAGGAAATGGGCAGCAGGCCCCAACTTTAGCCAAAGAACTATTGGCAACTTATTACTGCTGAGTGATGGAAAGTTGATCTTCTTTAAGGGAGTGACTCTAGATAGGCTAACTAGACCACAGTGGATGAACTTGCACTGAAGGACATCTGGGTACAGTAACTTGACTAGATAGGCCTTAACATGTATGACAGAATGCATAAAATCTAGTGGGGCGGGCTATGGGGGGTTCCAAATGGGGTTGGGTTATAAAAGTGATTAAGATGTTATGTATGAAAAGCAAAAAAATTCAATGAAACATTCATTAAAAAATAATAATAGGTTAGAGAAGCCATGGAAGAAGACCTCCTTATGCCAGATACCCTTTGGTCTCCGTGTATGCTCAAGTAGATCAAATTTACTATAATTAGACAAAGACATTAAGAGTGTTCATAAAATAAATAATAAAGAATTTGGGTGGGGCAATGGCATCTCATAAAAATTTTCTAGAAACACAAATTTGGTATTTATTAAAATTAAAGATATGTCTATGATACAACGCATCATTCCATTTCTAGGAATATGTTTGAAAAATTCCCACATATATGAGGAAACATAAAATAGCTCTCAAAGCAGTGGTTATAATAGCAAAATTATAAGAAAAATACTAATGTCTCTCAATAGAGAAACTGTTAAAATTATATGATAAAGGTTATTATAAAAATGATTAGGTATTCTTATATCTATATAATTTTTATGTAGAATATCGAGCAAATAAAAAGGTCAAATCATAGATGCATGCAGTTCAACATGCATACCTCTAAAGGTCTGACACGTGCAAAACAATCTTGCACGTTGCATACAACACTGCATATGTATTAGACACTAAGAGGCTTTGTATTTGTGCAATAAATAGTTATTGGTTGTTGCTTTATCCCTGTGGTGGGCTGGCATTGGGTTATGAAGTAGCAGTAGGTTTTAACTTTTCTGGAAGGACTTTTCAGAGTTGGCAATGTTTTACCTGAATGATAATAAAAAGGACATGGATTTTCTAAGCAGAATTCACACAACAAGATTAGTATGCTCAAGTTATTCTCTTGGCTCCCAGAAAAGCTTCTCTACTTTTCACTTGAAATCTTTTACTTTGTCAATACATAATTCTAATCAGCTTAGTTGGTTTTTCATGCATGGTAAATTAGAGACTTCCAGAGGCAGATACAGGTAGAAACAAGAAACAACAATTAGCTGTGAGGTATAAGAAAAGAAAAACTGCTAAAGGGATGCATAGGAATTAAAAATAAAAATAATCTAAGACTAAACATAACAGTAAGGCTTTAGACTGAACATGTCCTAGTCATTACAGATAGCAATCTGCATAATGTATTGAATAATGATAACCTGATCCCAGGCCAGCCAGATGTTTATTCCAGATGGTTATGTTTCAGTTCAAGTATTCAGGAAAATTTACACACACACACACACACACACACACACACACACACACACATACTTGCATCAGATTTCATCAACTTTTAAAAAAGATTTGGATATTGAAGAATATTTTCATGCAAAATTAACCTCTTTATAAATTATGCCTTGCAATTGACTCATTTTTGTATTCCACTTATTTATCAGACAGCATTGAAAGATTTCAATATGTTATGCACGGTCTTGAAACTGGCCATGCAAAGGTGACACCTCATTATGTCACTCACTGTCAGTGCGTGGAATATGGCATGTCTTGATGAGTATATGGATATTAGCAAAAAGTGCTCATTTCTGTTGGGCATTTTGTTCTCTGCTCGCCTTGTACCATTTTGAAAATTACCAAAATTAGAAGTGGAAGTAGCAGGATATTATTGGATTTCAATTTCTGTTAAGAAATACAATAGCAATATATGCTTTTGTGAATTTCCTAGGGGTTTTTGGTTGTATGTATTAAGAGACTTTAAAATTTAATTCCTTTAACTTTTTAATTCTAATTCTAAAACATTAAGAAAATGATGAAAAAAAGTTTTTAATCGTTTAGTTGGCATTGTTTGTAATAATGAAAACTGTTCATGTATAAATGAATAGGAAAATATTTAATTATGTTATGTTTGACAATGAAAACTCCATTTTCAGAATATTTAATTAGAAAATGTTCATGCTATATATTGATAAGTACAAAAAATTATAAGAAAATATTCAAGAATGTTGAGTGTCTCTTTTATGGTCATAGGATTATAGGCTATTTTCCTTTCCCTTTTTAGTCATTACTCTATTTTCCAAATTTCCTACAACAAACAAACTATTATAAGCAAACCAAATGCTACTTGTAAGCTAGCATTTATTTTCCATCCCAGAATAGACTTTTTGGACATAGACATCTTGATAAATGATCAGGGACCACAGTGGTTTTGTGTGGATATTGTCAATGATCAAGAAACCATTTATAAACTGGGTGTGGTGGTACACACCTTTAGTCCCAGCACTTGGGAGGCAGAGGCAGACAGAGCTCTGAGATCAAGGCCACCATGGTCTACATAACAAGCTCCAGGCCAGCTGGGGCTACAGGGAAACTCTGTCTCAAAAAGACCACAAAAATGAAGTAAATAAAAGACTGACATTTTATACTGAAGAGATGGTTAAAAGCATTAAAATAAGTTTACTGAAGTCATTGATAAGAGCTCACAAAACTCATGAAGTGGAGGCTCTTTATGTAAACACCTAATGTTGGCTTTTGCTGTCATAATTTGCAGCTCCTCAGTAGGTAGTGCACTTCCCCGGAGACGCTGCTGTGCATATATTACCATCGGAATGACATGCATTTTCATTGGTATTGGATTGACTGTGAGTACTGCTTTTGTTTTTTGTTTGTTTTTGATACAGGGTCTCCCATAGTCCAGGCTATCCCAGAATTTATTATGTAGCAGAGGTTTGCCTTGAACTCATGATCCTCCTGCCTCTTCTTCCCAAGTAATGGGATTACAGGTGCATTCTGCCATGCCCAGAGACTGGATCCTGCTTGGCTGTTAGAATTCTTTCCTTAACTTTGTCAACTTTAGTTAGTAGTACGGGGCCTGGGGCACCCACTGAGAAGGTGACCTCAGCATGGCAGGCCTCAGAACCTCTGGTGGTCTGTGGGAATCGTATATCCAGTCCTTGGATCTGGGTTTTCTTTTCATCTATTAAATTTTAATGATTTTTGTAACATATTAATTTCACAAAATCGTAGGTTTCATTATGGATATTGTTTCTAATGGAATCTGCCCACCCAGGGAAAGGCTATGTTTGTGCCCCTCTGAAAGGCTTTAGCACTGAAAAATTTACTACTCATTTAGCAAAATCAAAAATATTTTTGTTGAGTGGGACAGAACCAACTATGTATGGTCATGGAATAGCTAATATTCAAACAATACTTATTCAGCTAATGAGTTCTCAGAAACCATTCTCTTTATCCATGCCAAGCAGAGATTTATAGCCATAAAGAATGGCTTAGTTTTAGAGGAGACTGAAATTGAATAGTCGGCATGGAGATTATTGTGCCAGTAGAAGAGGGAGGCACTAATCTTTTTGCTTTCCATGTTCTGTGTTCCTTCATTAATATGCCCAGTCCCATATTATTAGCAGTGTCCTACTGTGTCATATGATAATAAAGATTTACATGGATTAAATACCTTACAGAGAAACATCATGTGAATATTCTCTTTTACTTTTTCTTTCTTGGTACTGAATCCCAGGTTACAGACATGCATCACCATGCATGGTAGGGTGCTTTTTCACAGCACATGTACATGAAGTAGATGGTAGTATATGTCATATAACTCGTAGCTAATATATGTCATGGCATTGTCTGTCAATTATAGCTAAGAGCTATACCTACTCTTATAGGGACTCGGCTTCAGTTTAGGGATATATTTCATACAGATCACATCCATGTATCCCAACACAAGTTCTCTAAGCAGACATTTCCTTAAAATTTCTAATCTTTTATTTTTATATTGCTTTTTGTTTTAGGTTGGCTCCCAAGATTTTGCAAGGCGATTTCATACAACCTACGTGTCTTGGGCAATTGCTTATCTCTTAGGTTTGATCTGCCTCATCCGAGCTTGTTACTGGGGGGCAATAAGAGTCAGTTATCCAGAACACAGTTTTGCATAATTTGTTCATGATTCATTGATGCAGGTGAGAGCATCTAGTTCTTGATTAGCACACTGTAAAATCACTTATCCTAATGGAGTCCATCCTGGCTTACGTATAATAGTTTCAAGCCTTTCTGAGTCTTTTCTGTACTACATTATACACAAGTTCATTTTGCTGCTAGGTTTTCAAACTTGGAATAGTAAAGCTGTCTTTTTGTTCTTTTAAAATCAATTAAAGATATTTTGGATTTGTCATCAAATGTTACATTTAATATCAGTCTTATATTATGTTTAAATCAGTTATTCCATCACTTGCTGATCCCAAGAAGTGTTTATAAATGTTTCTACAATAGTTTCACATTTATACTTACATTTTAATTAAACAAAATTGCTTGCTTTAAAATCTAAGCAATATGCATTTTTGCTTGGACTGCTTATAGTAATTTTAACCTAAGATTATAGTTACCTTATTCAGGAAAAAAAATTGAGTGTACTTTTAAAAACTTGGCATTATTGTCAGAGAAACATTTCTAGATACTGTATGCTTGTTTTATGTTGTTTGTAGAAAGATACAATATTTTGGTAGTAATGTAAAACACAAGGGTGAAAATATTTGTCCACAGTTGGAGGTGTTGGATAACTAGACATTTACCCAAGATTACAGAACTTTTGACCTTTCATTTTTGTCTTTTTATTTACTAATTATAAAAATCTGGTCTGGATTTATGGAATTTAATATTAATCAGCTGTATGGATTCCTTTATAGACTGGAGAAAGTATTTCAGATAACATGTTTTATAATACTTCACCATTTAATCAAAGACATATTTACACTGGGTTTCATTCCTTTTCATGAGATCATGGTAAACTCTCCTTGTTGAGATCATTGTGCCCCCTTTCTATGTAAAGGGAACCTATGAGATTTTTGCACTAGCTGAAATAGTATAATTAGACATCCACTTTCCATTCTTCAACTGGTGAGACAATTACTAAGTTAGTTAAGAAAATAGATCAGATATTAAGAGCAGCATAGTTTTCTAAAAACCCATTTAGGATTTATGGACTCAGCTCTTGCACTGCCCATTTTTTGCAGTTTAGAAAAATTAGTTAAGAGTTAATGGTCTAATCTCTTTCACATTGTAGAATTAAAGAATGAGATCATCCAAGCAAATTAATATGTGCTTCTAGGGATGAGACTAATATTTTAAGTTCTTGATTCATGTGAAAATGTATTCAGAAGGAAGTTTGGAGTGAAACACTTGTAAATGTCAAAGAGAAAATGATAAATGTATGAATGCAATAGCTCAGGATTACATGTATCTTTGAAAATATACTAATAAAGATTAATATTCAAAAATTATTTTGTTCTATTCCATTTTAAAAAGTCAGATATCATTTCCAAAATTGCCTTTGTGATCTTGCTCTGAAATGTTCATATAAGGAATATCTATAATTTTTATACAATGTTCATTTATATTTTTACATTATTTTCATATTTGTGTTTTTACGTTTTGGTTGTTAGCCTTTAACGGCTGCACTATCCCTCCAGCCCTCATATTTGTGGGTTTTTTTTTGTTTTGTTTTTTGTTTTTGGTCTTTTTGAGACAGGGTCTCCCTGTAGCCCCAGCTGTCCTGGAACTCACTATGTAGACCAGGCTGGCCTTGAACTCACAGAGATCTGCCTGTTTTTAAAAGTATCTATGTGTATGACTGTTTTGCCTGTATGTATGTAAGTTCACCCATGAATACAATGCCTGTGGAGGCCAGAAGAGGATGTCAGATCTCCCTGGACCTGGAGTTACGGAGAGTTGTTGGCCACTAGTGGGTTCTGGGAACCCAACCTGAGTCCTCTGCAAGAGCAGCCAGCGCTCTGAACTGCTGAGCCATCTCTCCAACCACCATAGCTCTTTGTGATCTTGCTCTGAAATGTTTGTATAAGGAATATCTATAATTTTTTACAATGTTCATTTATATTTTTAAATTTTCATATTTATGTTTTTAATATTCATATTTTTGTACATTTGTGACACGATGCTCAGTATAAAATAATCTTTTCTTAATGACTTAGTATTTGCAACAGCATACTATATTGAATTATCTGTCTATTCTTCCCCCACTGATTTGAAATCCCACCTTAAGTTATTTGCTATTTGACCACATTCCTTCTGGATCTCTGAGAGTAGGAAATGTGGCAGTTTGTTCACAGGTTTATCCTCATTTAGAACCCTTCCTGGTATATAGGTGCTCAGTCTAAATGAAACAGTGACTATGCATGAGTGGTAGGAAATCATACTGTTATTTTAGTTCTTATGTTTACTTGGTCAAGTATTTGGTCTTTTGTGCCAGAATATATAGTAAAATACAACCTTAGGTTAAGAAGAAAATTCCAAATATTACCTAAAACCAAAAATCATGAAGGATTGATACAATAAGGTGATTAAATTCCAAACAAAAACTATAAAAACTAGTGTATGAAAAAAATGAAAAGTTCTAATAAATAAAACCAAAAGACAAATTGATGAAAACATTTTCAAAATAGTAGAATCCATTTTTGAAATACAGGAAGGCTCTAAAGGCATGAAAAAGCGATTTATAACAGAAATAAAACCAGGCATGGTGGTTTATGCCTTTAATCCCAGCACTCCAGGGGCAGAGGCAGGCAGATCTCTGTGAATTCAAGGCTAGTCTTGTGTACATAATCTACATTTCAAGTTCCATACCAGCCAGAACTATGTTTGTAGAAAGATACAATATTTTGGTAGTAATGTAAAACACAGGGGTGAAAATATTTGTCCACAGTTGGAGGTGTTGAGTAACTTGACATTTATCTAAGACTACAGATTTGAGTGCGACAGGGGCAAAGAGCTTTTGGTAGATCATTATGGATAAAAATCTGGTCTGGATTTATGGAGTTTTTGGAGTTTAAGAGATCTTGTCAAAGAAAGGAAGGAAGGAGGGAGGGAGGGAGGGAAAGAAAATGAACATTTTTTAAAATTTACTAATAAAGAATGTAAAGTACAGCAAAGAGCATTTTTTTCAACTACCATATTAACTGATAATGAAAAAAAAAAAAACAATAACATCTCAGGTATTTGGGGTGATAGGAGAAAATCACTCTCCTCCTTCCCTTCTCCTCTCCCTCCCCTCACTCTCTCTATATATTATTTGACCAGTAAGTCTAAGAATTTATACTAATAGCACTATGAAAAAGAGCAAATTCATATGTACATGATGTTTATCACTTCTCTGTTGGTATTAAGTAGAGGAAAATATATTCACAAAATTAAGTAACAAAGCAATACATATAGTTTGATACACTCTAGGGAAATATTTTCTGTCTATATATTCAAAACACTAAAGAAAAAATGATAAAATGCCATCTCTGGGTGATCAGAGATAAATGATTTTTTAAAAATTTAATCTACATTAATGGTTGGAAAGTTTAGATTCTGCTCCTAATAAGCAGTTAGGATTGATATGTGATGATCATATCGATGCTTATTACATTTTTCATTTAGATATTTGATGTTCTACAATAAATTGCTGAAACCCCAAACAATAAATTTCATCAATTAAACTTTAAGTTTTTAAAAAGTTGAAAAATACATTTAAGGTTAGTCTTAAACGGATTACTGCAAAATTTCATCAACTCTAAATTCATAGATCGTATGCCCTATTATTATTTCTTTCTGCGTATGCAGTGTATTTCTCAGTGTATTTCTCAGTAAATGTACAGTGCTAGGGATGTTTTCTGAAGGATCATCTTAGGTGACTAATCAGAAAAGTACTTGCTCGCCCCCTGCTGTCCAAACTGGTAAAACTTGCTTTCAATTTTAGAAGAGAAACATGGCCCCATGATTAGATGTTTTCTTTAACAAAGTAGTTTATTATTGCATAAATGTATGATGTGTTTCTGTGCATGTGGATGCATGTGTATTGTGGTGAACCTATGAGGTCAGAGGACAACTTTTAGGAGTCAGTTCTCTTCCGCAGGTTCTGGGGACGGAGCTCAGGTGGTCAGGCTTGCATGGTAAGCACTGGTACTCATTGTGTCATTTCATCAGCCGTGATAAGGTATGTTTGAACATGAGCCATGTACTGTGTTAGCGTCACAAAGCATGCAGTGTATTCATAAGAATCAAGGAGGCAACTGTACTTGTTGGTGTTTTACAGAGAACATGGAGGTACTTCTGCCAGAGATTGTCAAAGGCTGATTTTAACTCAGAAAATCTGCATTAGAAACAGTCATTGCTTTATAATTCTGATATGAATTCTGGACTACACTGTGGAAAACGCTGTACACCAGATTTACAATATTCTCTCTAATTCACATTTCCTAACACAGAAAAGAAGGTCCAATTGCATTTAGCAGATAATACAATTTCTTTGTCTAGTTTTGATACTGCTCTCTTGCCATCATGAAACTCAGTGACCACTTCTGCAAACATTATCTGCATGAATTGCTATAAAATTAACATTTTTCAGTTACTTGATGTTTTTGGTATGCATGTAGATATATATGTTCAAAGCAGTGAAGAAAGCCCTAGTGTTTACTGAGCTGCCTTGTATACATTAACATTTAATCTCCATTCTAGTTACAACTCTGAAGATGTTAAATCATTAAAGACCACTCAGCTGCTCTGTGATGGAGCCAGCTGGTGGCAATCTGTTTGCTGCCAAAGTTGGTATGTCTTCTACTTTATGAGGATTTGCTGTACTTTATGTTGTAGCAAATAGCTTCTGGGCTTTATGTCCCCTGTTTTCTAAAAAAAACTGTCAAAACATTTAATGGGAATGTTTATCCAAAGTAGCCATTTCAAAATAGAACATTTCAGCTCAAAAATCTTAAGAATTTGAAATATACATCCATTTTAGAGATTTTAATTCATATAACAAGGTATCTATATTTTCTTTACTAATATAAATCATAGGTAGACTAAGTAGCAAATTACCTACTAAATATGAGGAAATTGATATGCATTGAGCTTTATATTATATGACTTCATTTTTTCTTGTAGTGGTAGTTATTAAAATGATTATAGAACAGCACAAAATGCTTAAAAGCAAGTGCATACGTTTTAAAATTCATTTGACATGCTTACTTATATTTTGCTAAATGTGCAATGTGCCTGGTTTGAGGTAAAATACTACAGTGAAAAGAAAAGTCTATATTCTTTTGAGGCTCTAAGGAAGGCACCCAGCTTGCACTTTAGTGAGAGCCTTTGATCTGCCAGTCTTTTCTCTTTCATCAGGAGGGCCACTGGAGGTAACATCCTAACAAACTCTGCTCACACTGAGGTTTTTAATGCCGAGTGGTCTACTTGTTAATTGTGTTTAGAAGCAAACTATAGAAAAGGGCTGGAGAGATGGCTGAGCTTAAGAGTGATTGAGGCTCTTGCAGAGGACCTGAGTACCTTTCCCAGCACCTATTTCAGGCTGCTCGCAACTGCTTTCTAACTCCTGCTCCAGGAGATCCAACCTTCCTCTTCTGTCTTCCATAGACACATACACACACACACACACACACACACACACACACACATACACACACGCGTGCACGCGCGGGACGGATGGGGAGAGGGAGAGGGAGAGAAAGGGAGAGACAGAAAGGGAGAGAGAGGGAGAGGGAGAGTTGTCTGTTTTTAAGCCTTATGCAACAGGGCATGTGTGGAGGATTCTTTAGCTTGTGTAATAATGCCCTGTTTCTTCTGGTCTCTTCCACCATACCTGCCTTACTCTTTGCTTCGTGCATAACATTCTCTCTGCCTACTACCTGCAGTCCTCTGGTCTCCCATTTACACCTTCATAATCAATAAATTTCTGTATATAGTTTTCAGTCTTACCATGTGGCACTTAGTTAAATGTCAGTGTGAATGGTTTATATAGTACTGCACCCCAGAGAAAGTTTTATATGATGCCAAGTATATAGGTATAAAAAACAGGCATACAAATATTTACTGATAATAAAACATGAAATTTATGGAGCTGGAGAGATGGCTCAGTGGTTAAGAGCCCCAGCTGTTCTTGCAGCGGACCGCGGTTCGAATCCCAGCACCCACATGGTGGCTAACAACCACCTGTAACTCCAGTTCCAGGGGATACAACGCCCTCTTCTGACCTCTGCGGGCACTGCATGACATGGGTGCACTTACATGCACTTACACTCATACACATTAAATTTTAAAAACATAAAATTTATTTTTGATTTTTAATATACATGGAATTTTGTCATTTGTAAAGATGAAAGCAAATTTGCATATTAATGAGGATATACTTATTTATTCTTACATAATTATATCTTGACTGAATATTTGATCATTCCAAGCATAGAACATCTTCAGCATTTTCAGAGTTGATCCCTATTTGATTCTATAATCGTCAATGCCAAGAACAGATCTCTGCTTTGCATAAACACCATGGCAGAAATATGTTTAGGGTCATTTCAGAAATTAGTGGAAATTTTGTCCTAATGTGAAGACAAAAGTCACTGATTTTTGTGTGTGCATGTGTGGTATATGCATGTGTGTACAGGTGCATGAATCATGCAGACACAGGCCGAAGGAGGGCGACCGGTGGCCTGCCCTTTCAGACAGGGTCTGCCACAGAATCCCGAGCTTGGCATGTTTTGGCTAAGCTGGCTGGCAAGCAAGCCCCAGCTCTCCTCCTGCCTCCACCGGCCCCCTCAGCATAGGGCTTAAAGGAGCACTTAATTCCTGGCTTCCATGAGTGCTAGGGATCCAAACTTAGGCTCTCTTGCCTATGCAACTAGTGCGCTTATTCAGTCAGCAACTCAAACACAAAGTTTTAAGATCAAATATTCTAACACAATACAATCCACGAGTATACTGTGATACGTGCTGAGGAATAATGGTAGGAAAGTGTTAAAAGTTCTTGTTTTCTGTAGCCATTGTTTTTATAAGAACAGAAAACTTTTTAGAAAATTATTTAAAATTATGTGTATCTGAATGTGGATGTGTGCACATGAGTATCGATGCCCATCAAGACCCAAAGTGTCAGGCCCCTGGAGCTGGAGTTACAGGCAGTTGTAAGCCACTGATATGGGTACTAGGAATCAATCTTAGGTCTTCTGCAAGAACAATATGCCCTCTTAACTGCTGAGCCATTTCTCCAACCCCCAAGAGCAGAAAAAAATTTTAATATTTTATTTATTTTGATATTTTATGTGTATGAGTGCATTGCCTACCTCTGTGTAAGTGCATCTGTGTCATGCATCTGCTCCCAAGGTTGGGTCAACAGACATGCCTTCCCTTAAACACAGCTTCCCTCACAGAGCTGACCTCTCTCACAGAGGTGACCTCTCCCACCCGAGCTGACCTCCCCAACAGAGCTGACCTCCCTCACAGAGCTGACCTCCCCCAGAGCTGACCACCCCCACAGAGGTGGCCTCCCCCGGGGGTTGCCTCTCCCAGGGCTGACCTGCCTCAAGGAGTTCTGCTCACCCCCTCACAGACGCAGCCTCCATCACAGAGGCTGCTCACCTCACAGAGGCCGCCCCCCTACTGAAGTCGCCCCAAGCCCAGAGGCCGCCTGGATCCCACCGTCTTCGCGTGCACAGCACAGACGGCCTGCGCCGCGGTCCTTCGATGAGTAGGGCCCAGAACTAGGATCCGACCCCCTTTTCATGCGGGCGCGTCCGTCGAGGGCGAGCACATCCGCACCTGGGAGAGGCCGCCTGCTGCGCGCCTAGTGCGAGCCGCCCTGACCCGCCCCACAGGCCCGGGACGCGCGCGCCGCCGGTTTAACGGTCTCGGCCCAGGGGCCCCGCCCGACCGGCCCGAACCGCGAGCCCCGCCCCCAGCCCCTGCCGCGGTGACACGGGCCGCCAGGCGACTAGCACCGGGAGCCGTTCCCCGACGGCAGCCGGGCGCTGGGCCTCCTTATCTGAGCTGAGCCCCGCGACGCCGCGCCGGAAACCCTCCTGGATCTTGAGGCGGTAGGTGAGGGGAGGATACACGGGGTGGGATGGAGGGGAGGCCGTGGCCAGGGCCCCGCCGCAGAGCTGGAGGAGGGGGTTTGCTGAGGGCGGAGGGCGGGGGAGCCGCGGCCCACCCGCAGGGACTGCACCGCACGCACCGATTAGATGGGCGGTGCTGGGAACTCTGTCCAAGACTTCCGACAGTCACAGACACCTGTGGCCTGCATAGGTTTCAGCTTTAGTTCTCAGAAGTTAAATTGAGTCTTACTGAAAGATGTTTCAAAAGACTTTGGTTTTCTTTTACTGCTTAGAAAGAGGTGGGAAAAAGATGAGATTTATTGCTGTTGGATACTTTTTGCATTAATTTTTTCCAAATAAGTCAACTCGATTTTAGTAATATAAATGCTGTTCACCACCTAATGCTGTTCACCACCTAATAATTGGATTTATCTCTGCTCTCCTATATTTTCTGTTACTCTTCATCAATCATTTTATCAGTACAGTAATTTTTACTTAATAAGCAACATTTGGTTTTAAGAACTACTTTATAATATTTTGGAGTTGGAAATGGAGATGAAATCTTACCTAGTTTTCATATGGAAAATATGCACGGGGTAAATAAAAATGATCTTACTTCTTAATTGTAGGAGCTCTGCCGGTATTTGCCCAAGAAGACTAGAATTTTTTTACTTTTGTGGTGCTGGGAATAGAACTGACAGCCTTCTCACAGCCTAGAAGGAGGCACCTTACCAAACCCAAGGCATCCCTAGCCCCAAGAAGCCTAGAATTTCAAAAGGAGATGTACAGTACTCAGCCCTTGTAGCCCAGGTTGGCCTCTAACTCACTTTGTAGCAAAGGTTGACCTTGAACTCAGATCCCCAGTGCAGGGATCACAGGTGTGAGCCTCGATGCCAGATTTTTATTCAGTTCTGGGGATCAAACCCAGGGCTTCGTGCCTACAAGGCAAGCACTCCCATCAGCTGAGCTGAATTCCTGGCCCTATATTTCTTAAACTCTTACTTATGATTAGTATGGCAGTAGACCATATCTACAGAATGGGGAAAACATAATGCCATAATTTTGTAAATTGAGGAAATGGAAAGTATTAACATATATTTTATTCACCAAGGGTTTATGAATAAATATGCCTTCTCCTAATTAATTTTTCATCAGTACATAAAATTTGTCCATGGAACAGTACAGTCACTCTCATAAGATTGGAGACAGTGCATGAACTTTATAGTCAAATCCTCACTTCTTTCTGGGGATTTGGGTTTCTGAGTCTCTTGTTTCTCATCTGTAAAATGGGACTAACCATTTTTTCAACAGTTAATGTGTGGTGCAAAGTTAAATGAAGTAATATTTGTAAGGTATTTAGGAGGTAGTAACATCTCAAAATAGTCTTTTAGTTTAAGGGCATCTCTGCTCAGTGCTGATCACATCCAAATTGCTCAGTTTTTGTGCTTGTTCTCACACCTAGATTTTAGAAAATTCCATATTAGTTCGTAATTTCAGAATTAATAGAGCCAACTTTTGCAAAACAGAAAAAGAACCAAGGATATAGTTAATATTTCCAGATGTGGACTAGCAACTACAAGTTTCTTGACTAATAGCCCTATTATTAGTTAACTAACACTATTCATAAGCAAGTTGCCCTTCAAGATCATCTGTTAAATTTTGTAAGCTTGAACAAATCCTCCACTTTATTTAGCAACCATTCAAAACATATATTAATAGAATGAATATTTTTGAGATACCAAAATGTCCTTCTGAAACATCTATGCCATGAAACTGTGCATTTGCATTTTTAAAAAGACAACTTTATTATGGGCCTGCTATGTGCTACTCAGTGTTAGTGGTGAGATCCTGCTTCTTATGCAACCATGGTCCTTTGTACAAATTGATGAGGTAATGCCTACTCTAGGTAGACTGGCAGCATCAAGGGAAGCTTGCTCAGCTCTGTGGATGAAGCAGGCATAAAGATTTAAGTTCTTTTCCACACCGACTTAGTAATTCAGAAACACCTTTATTATTTTTAAGTAAATTGGATTGTGGTTTTTGGAGTTTTGTCTTGATTATAATCCCATTGATCGGTTTTATAATTGTCTTGTGAACACTTACCCCTTTTAATAATACACTGATGATAGTGTATGGTATGCATTGTGGTTTCTAACTCATCCTTAAAATGTCAGTGTTTCTGTGCAGGCATAGTTTGCTTTTTTAAAAAAAAAATTAAACAGTATGTGTGGAACCTTATTTTCTAATTTTCTGACTGGTACGGATTTATATGTGGTGATTCCTAACTGTTTTCTTTCCAACTACCAACTGAAAGGTAGGTGACACTAAAAGAGCTTTCATTTTCTGTTTACTTGTTTTACAAAATCATATAATAGAGTTCTGTAACTCCCCAACTCTTCAGAATCCCCAGTTTGAATACTATGGATTTGCCTTGCTCAGCAACTGGAAGAGACTTGGTCATCTACAACTCAGTTTCAGCTGAGTAATGGAAAACAAAGAACTGTGTGCCAAGGTCTTCTATTCTTTTGTATTCTGATTCACTACTGTCCTATGGGAAACAGGATGGAAAGTTACTGTGTAATAGCACTAGGGTCCTCATCAGATTGGTTAGGGGGAACATGAAGTAAAACAACATACATTATAGTCAATTCCAGTTACTACTAGAGTGCTTTCGACCTTTATTTAAAATACTCCATTTAGAAGATATTCAATATATATTTGAGTGTGTTTTTTGCTTCCTATTGTATTAAAGCTATGATATGAACAAATAGAGACAGCATTGATTTGTTTGGAAGGCTAAGTATCATATTAAAATACTACTAGGTAACAGAAACATAACAAAGCGAGATAGGTCCTAACTAGGAGTGCTAATTGGCTTATCCCCAAACATCAGGCAAAAGCAACTGAGATTAGTTACCATAGTTAACTTTGAGAAATTATATTTCTGTTTGTAATGTCTGAGTTATATATCTCTAAAAGGTTTTAAATAAGAGAAAGCATTTCTTGGAACATGTTAGTAATTGTACTTTATGTTTGAAACAGTAAGTTGGTCTTACAATTTGCCCAAGACCATATGGCTAGAATTATGTTTAGATGACCAAATGCAAAACCAAATGAGGTCTTACTTTTGACTTACCTTGATGCATATCAGAATTTAGAAAGCTATGTACCCAGGTTTTGTGAACATGAATATGTCAGAAAATTTTAGTTATAATGAGAAAGTACTTAAACTTATTGACTTTATTAGTAAAACTGATTATATTGAAGATACTAGGATAAGGAGAGATGGCTCCACAGTTAACAGCACTGACTGCTCTTGCAGAGGACCCGGGTTCGATTCCGAGAACCCACATGGCGGATATGAACCGTCTTTAACTCCAGTTCCAGGGGAATCCAAAGCCCTGTTCTGATCTCCACAGCATTGCACGACACGGCTGCACTCACATACATGCAGGCAATACACTCATACACATAAAATAAAAATAATAAATAAAATATTTTTTAAAAGATAAAGTCTAGTTTTGTGGCCTCAGCTAATTCACCACATATTCAAATAGGCGTATAACATATATTTTGGAAAAATTAATAAACAAATAGGGACCATTAGAGAAGGAAGGTAAGAGGAATTATTATACTACTGTTGACCTACTCATCAAAAATTAGAGGACTTCATGAAAACATTTTATTTTATGCTGGCTATTGAAACATGAGGATACTTTGTAAGGAAATAGAGCTTGATCTCAGTCTTGAAAGATGAACGATAAAGGGGAGAATGAGGGCACTCTAGATACAGATTTCCAGATACATGGAAAACAGAATTAACAGTTCAACAACTTAGTGAATATCCACGGTCTACAAGATGCTGCTCATACTAGAGACATACCCGAGAGAACTATAATTTAATAGTGGGAAGGAATCTAAGAGGAATTAGAGGAAGAATGATTAGTATGATCAAAACACATTGTATACAAGTATAGAACTTACAAAGAATGAATTAAAAAGTTGATTAACAGATAATTGCAAGTTACATAATAAGTACCAGATTGGAAGAGGTGGTTTTGTGAACATATTAAAAGGTTTCTTAACAGGAGCTTGAGTAGTTTAACCTGAGAGTGCAGTAGAAAGAAAGGTTGAAGCAACAGCTGTATTGTAGAGTGTTGTCCAGCAGTCTGGGTGTAAACATAGCCTTTATTTCCTAGTCTCCTGACCTTGGGTAAATTACCTTATTTTTCTAAGCCTTATCTATAAAATGAAGATGACATATTAGCTTTGACTGACCTCTTATTACATACTAGGTGTTGTTCTAAGTGCTTCTTAAAAAAATTATACTATTTAGTCTTGGCATTAAGCTTAAGAAGTAGAGACTATTATTATACATTGTTATATAACTAGGGGGCTGGAGATGTGCTATGAATCCAGGCATGCTTGCATGAAAATTATTATTTTGAGAAAGGGCCTGGGTAGCCTAGGATGGCTTTGAACACACTATGCATCCCATTTTGACTCTGACTTGGAATCTTCCTGCTTCATCTTTCTGATGCATGCCACTCTGCCTGAGTTCTATGAATGGTACCTCATTTACAGAGTTGTTCATAATAATAAAATATATAGAAATGGCTTATCATAGATGCCATAGATATAAGCTCCCGTTTCTATTATTAATAACCAAGGATATGGTAGGTTTCTTTTTGTTGGGTAGTGTTACGGAATGAACCTAGGTACTTGTGCATGCTAGGCAAACATTTTGTCATTGAGATATCTTCCCAGCTATTTCTTACATTTTTATATTTGAGACAGGATCTTGCTAAGTTGCCTAGGCTGGCCTTGCAGCTCTCCTGTCTCAGCCTCTTGAATAGTTGAGATTACAGGCCTGTACCACCAGGCCCACCTTGGTGACTTTAAAGTTTAATGTAGGTAAAGTGATCATGGTTTCAAAAAGTCTAGTTGCTCAGGGAATGCTTGTTTCACCTCTACTTTGTATTCATTCCAAATATTGTGTCAGTTGCAGAATATGTAGGGTGAATAAATATTGTTCCTCATTTAAGAAGAACCTGTTCCTTACTTTTGTCTATTAAGAAAGGAAATAAAGCCAAAGTTATAGTATAGTACAATATTCAGCCCCAAGTGTCATAATGTGGGCATATTCTTGGTATCCCAAGATCATAGATGGGGAGCATTTAAATCTCTCTAAGAGATAGTCAGAAAGATGATTTAAGAACTACTATGGTATTAGGAGAAAATGGTAGAAAGGAAGAAAAAATAAGATACCCTTTGGAAGAAGAATGGAAAGGAATTAACGACTAATTGGGTAGAGGCTGTAACTTAAATCATCAAATTGAAGAGATCTTTATCAAAGGGGGGTTATGGGAGTTGGTGAATACTTTGAGGAATTCAAGAGGAAAGACTCTTTGACATCAAAATATCTTCATGTTTTTGAAGTTGCACTGATAAGCTATGAACTGAAATAGCTGTAGACAATTAGAAAAATGGGACAAGAGTTTTAAGAGGCAGGTGCTAAAGGTATACATTGCATCATATTTATCCATGTATATAGGTGGCTGTAAACATGAGAATAGATGAGATTAACTAAGAGGACTAAAGCTAAACTGAGCCATATCCTTAAATTTACAACTGGAGCGCAGAAAGAGGGATCAATTAAAGTAGTTAGAAGAGGCAGAGGAACCGGAAATAAGATGAAAAATAAAGTTATATAAATTAAAGGCAGAAAATATTTTAAAGGATTATACAACTGTCATAAAAGTTATAAAGAAATCTGAGGTTATTGCGCATTTTAAATTTTTTGTCTGCATTTTCCTCCTTAGTGTCTTCAAATGAGTATTGTGGTTATTTGTACATATGTAAAAGATCTTGATTGTTTTGTGTAAACGGTAAAAATGTGTTTTCCCTATTTAAGTATGGAACCTCAAGGTCTTTATGACAATGGAAACCAAAAAATTGATTGGCAAACCGCTTCAGCCAGCAAGACCTGTTCGTCATCTCTCTTCTCCCCCAGGTGAGTAATAGAGTGCACACTTTTTAAGCATTAATTTGTCAGTGGTTAATTAGTATTTGACAAATTAAATGATTTACAAAGTAATTATTTGAGGTGGATATTATAAAAAGTAATAAAAATTAATTGATGATCCTTTCTGTTTGAAGAATTTATGAATGTTATCTAAATATAAAGGTAATTAGTAATCTACCAGTCCAGAGTCTTCCAGATCAACCAGGGTAGGAAGAAGTTTTTGCCTAAAAGTAACGACATTTTTTATGTCTTATTTTTACAGTTAATGGCTCTGGTCAGAGACATTCCTCATATAAATTGTACCCCATGATTATGATCAATGCATAGCAGTCATGCTGGAGAATTAGCCTTTTCAAAGACATGCCTACATATAAAACAAAAACAAGAATCTCAGTACCACACAGGATTAGAGATTCTGTAGTGATGAGGTTGTACTTGTCCTCCAATAGGACTTAGGGATGTGCTTGAGCTGTAACATACCTAATTTGAAAAAGCCTGACAAAAATAGAGATCTCTAAGTAAGCCTGGCCTCTTAGCTCAGGTCTGTAATCCCCCTATTTGAGAGGCTAAGGCAAGAGGATGGCAAATTCAAGGCCTACTTGGGCTACAGAGTCAATTCAAGCTCAATTGGGCATCTTAGGGATAACCTACCTCAAAATAAAAAATACGGGCCAGCAGGATGACTCAGCAGCTTGCCACCAAGCCCAAAGATCTGAGTTCTGGGACCCACATGATGGAAGGAGAGAACCAACTCCTACAAGTTGTTTTCTGACCCGGACACATGCACTGTGGTATGTGTACACACACACACAAGCATGCGTGCACACACACACACTAAATGTAACAAATTTTTAATTAAATATTCAAAACTGTCTGGGCTATAGATCAGTGGTGAAGTGTGAGCCTGGTATGTGCAAGGCCCTGGGTTTGATCTTCACTATCCCTAGCCCCAAATCTTAAGATTAAATTTTTTGTTTTGTCCACAAAAGTATTGTTTGTACACAGTTTTGCAGTACTTGATAACTTGTTGCTAGGATGCCTTCTGTGATCTAACTTAAGTGATGTACATGCAACCTGTTTAAATTTCTTTTATTCTATTGAACTGAATTAATGGACTGCTTAATAATAAAGGAAAAATGTCATCCTTTATTTTTACTAAGATAAAGCAGAAAATGTAGAAATGCTATCAGTTTCTGTACTGTGTTCTTACTCCCATCCTTGGTTCCTACAAGGAAATTGTCTGCATTTGGGCATGTTTCTTTTCAAGATAGGTGTGACTTAGGACAGACAAGTGAATCTTCCTGGACCACAATGTAGCTGTGCTGATCCCATGCCCTTCCGTGGACTGGAAGCAGTTGTGCAGAATCAAATCTTAGATTTGTATCATAAAGGGAAAGATGCAAAACCATTGGCTGCCACTCCTTTTTGTGAGCAGCTTTTGCCAGCACCGTCTTCATTTCTGTTGTCATGGATTCTCACTGAACCCTCCCCTCCACAATGACTGTGTAGGTGAAGGAAGGGAGCACAGGGTGGATACATAATGCCTCATTGAACTGTAATCCTCTTAAGATACAGCAGTGAACTAGGGGTTTAGTAAATACAAACATTTGGGACTTTCTCAACATGCTTCCATACTTTGAATAGCTCAGGTCCCCCCAAAAATCTCTTTTCTCAAGCTCAGATGGAATTATTTCTTTTATGGAACTTCCTGGTATCCCCAAAGTAGTTCTGCCATTCCCTAATAATTTTCTCAAAATCTCACAGTAAGAATATACTTTACTACATTATCAAATTGCATAATAATTTTTATTTATGAACTTTTTTATACTTGAACTCTTAATGCTTGCATTTCAGAGGGTTGACTAAATATTTGTTGAATAATGAACTATGACAAACATAGCAGTGCCAAGAATGTCACAAACACATGTGTTTTTTAAAGTACATATATCATTTATTGAACACATGGGTGTTTAAAACAGACTTTTCCTCTTCTGACAGGACCAGTGTTCCCTTTCAACTTTCAAAATGAATATCCATGCAACACTCAGCGTTTACAAAGTGGAGGTGGCAGAGTAAGTCTTCAAAATTTAAGAGATTGGGTCTGGGGATAGCTCGGTACAGCACGTGCTTCCCCGGGTACATTTCAATCTAAATACACATTTAGTTGGTATAGTAACACGTGTTAGGTGGCTATTGCTGGATCCTATGTTTCAGACATCTATTAATATAATAATAGAATGGCACCTGTATACTATATTAATAAAATGTCACCCATATACATCTTAGCCAGCATTTAAAAATATTTAAATATATTTTTATGTGTGTAAGTGTTTTGCCCACATGCATGTATGTAAGTGTACATTGGCCATGCAATGCCCACAGAGGCTAGAAGAGGGTGTTGGAGGCCCTGAAACTGGAGTTATGGGTGGTTGTTAGCCTCCATTTGGGTGCTGGAATCAAACCTGGGTTTTCTGGAACAGCAATCAGGCCTCTTAACTGCTCAGTCATCTCTCTAACTGCTTACTCCGCTTTTAAAATCTAAACATTTTCCTGTATTTTTCTAAAAAATTTAAAAGAAAAGCCTAACAATTCAAAACCCTCTGTATATCTTTCGCCAGTTTCGTTTCCTATCCTTCCCAGATGTAACTCTTCTGTTTATTATTTTTGGACTGTTTCTGCAATAAATAGAATTCTTTTAACTGTCTTATAATCTTTAGGTTTATTTTTATTTTTAAGTATGTATAAATGTGTGTGTGTCTGTGGATTATGTGCACATAAGTACAGGTGCCTGTGGAAACTAAAGGCATCAGAGCTCCCAATAGCCGGATCTACAGGCCATCGGGAGCTACCAGATGTAGTTACTGGGAATTGAACTCAGTTTCTCTGAAAGAGTCATCTCTCCAGCCCAAAATTTTTTAAATAAGTAATAATACATTGATTTTATCAGTCTTATTTCACAGTAATACTTCTATTAAAAATTAAATTTTTACTAAGTGAAATAGTCACAAAGTATAAAATTCAAAATGTACAAAGTTATATTTCATGGAAATTTTCCCCCTGGTTTGTCTCCTTCTGACATATTTCCAACCTAAGTAACCTTTCTTATCCGGATATTGTCAGAAGTAAGCTGTGTATGTACAAGCATTAACATATTTATAACTAGAATACTAGGCAAATTTAAAACAAATAGAGCAGCTCTGTGTGTGCTGACATAGGAAAATACTTTAGCTTGTCAGAACATACCACATTGCTGGTCCACTTCCTGTTGATGGGCTCTTGTTTCTATTTTATAATAAATGTTACAATGCCTATTGCATGTTTCATTTTTTTCTCAAGTTTGAGAGGTTCTCTGTGATATAAAGCAGGACAGATTAATATTGCTAGGTTAAAAGGTGTTCTTCAGCTTTTTTTCCACTCACTAGTTGATATCTCCAGTAAACATTGCTTCTAGGTGTTCATGCCTGGACATTCTAAGTTCATTAGCTTTACTATCTGTCATTTGAGTTATTGTTGTTTCAGTTTCATCAAATATTTTATCCCTGTACAATATGAGTTACTATTTTTCTAGCTCTTGGTAACACTTTCTGTGCTATCCTCTAATCCTTCAGCTTTTCATGAAGGCTCTGATGTTTTCTATGTCTTTACCTTGGTATTGTCAGACTTTGAGGTTTTGTTTTTGTGCAGTGGTTGAGAACTCCTGTCTTTGTTGGTTTTCATTTTTGTTGTCTCTTGCTAGAGAAGTGGACTGTCTTTCCATTGTTCAGTTTGGCTACTTACAGTTTTGCACATGTGCTAATTGCCAGCTCACACCACTTACTCATTTTTTTCTTTTATTGCCTTTTTCTCATGCCTGGAAATACATTCTGCATTTTGATTATTGTTTTTCTATATACGGTAAATATTTTCTTTTCATGAACTTGGTCTCTGAGAGAGTTGTTTGATATTTGGGGAATTAGTGAATTCTAAGAACAGATGTCAGGTTTATCCTTGTATTTTCAGGACAAAGCATAGTGTTCCTTGTGTCTTGAATACGCTGTGTTCTTTAAGTAAAAGGATTCATCAAAGCCTTTGCTAACCTATTTGACACCTTTATAAGAATTAGAAGAAAATTACAGAACAGTGTAGGTTTTGTTACAATAATGTATATTGGTTCTGTGAAGGATGCTCCTTTAATAGACAGCCTTCACAACTCCATGTAGTAGCCCTGAATTTCAGAATCCAGTTCATCTATCTTACCTGTTATTTTGACTTGGACACCAGACTCCTCTGCTCTTTGCTTTCCTTGACTGTGATATTGGTGATCAGACTTACCTTTATATGATTATGGTGCTTAGATAAAAAAGCATAGAGATAATCACTTTGCAAAACTTTTAGTAAGTATGGTTTTACATGTTTTGAAACATTTGACATAATGATTATTTTAGTATGACAGTATAATTTTAACTTTGTCTTGCACTTAGGTAGCTGTTACAAAGCTAATCTGTTCATCTACTAAAATTTTAGATTTGAGAAATGCATTTTTATACTTATTTATTGTGTGTGTGTGTGTGTGTGTGTGTGTGTGTGTGTGTGTGTTCAGGCATCTGGAGGTCAGAGGACAACTTGTGGGTTTCAGTTTTCTCCTTTCACCAGGTGAGTCTAGTCATCAAGTTCAGGTTGCTTAGGCTTGGCATCGAGCACCTTTACCAGCTGAACCATCCTCCCAGCCCAAGAAATATATGTTTTTCATTCTTGAAGTGACATATTGTTAATTTGATATAACAGTCAGGAAGAATATTGGAAAAATCTCTAGCATTTTCTTTTTTCTGTCTCTTCTTAAAACTGCTATTACTTGCCTTTTCTGAGGATTTATTTTGATGTCTGAGTTGTGGAGCACCATCTTATTTTTATTCTGCCATAAAGTTAGATAGTCTTTCTATCTTTAGGCACTGTGATATGGTAGCATTTGTAGAAATTTAAGGAATGGCTTATAACTTGCCAATAGAGCAACAACTGGGAGCAAAGACGTTTATTTTTCAGGGTATGTGACTCTAAAGAAATCCCCTTCAGTCAATTATGATGGTCATGGACTCTTGGCACAATAACCTTTGTCAGTATGAGAGTAGATCATCTTTTAGGGGTAGATTGCATAAGTTTATAGGACTCGTGTATGAAATTAGAAGAACATTGTCTGTTTTGTCCTCTGGGGTTCTCTAGTATCATAGGTGTGTTTTCTACTTCTAGGGAGAGTAGTGGATAACCAAATTAGAATTAGATTGTCTCTTGATGAGCAGAGAATCAGAAGAAAAAGAGTGAAAAATGGATTTTTAAAATGTCATCAGATTACTTTAGCCAATCTCACAATAAAATATAGTTCAAGTAGAATCATAAAACTTTCGTCTCCTTAGGACATTGTGTGCCACCACTGCTTCTGATGTAGGCTTTTTGTTTGTTGTTTTGTTTTGTTCTGTTTTGTTTAGTTTTGTTTTGTTTTTGGTCTCATTACTTGAATCAGTTTTTATTACCTCAGTTTCCCAGGTGTTAGGCAAAACAGCTCATATGCTCACTTTGTTTTTAATATTTATTTTTATTTATATGTATGTACATGTTTCTGTGAGTGAAACATATATACAGGTGCTCGGGAGAACCAGAAGTGGGTGCCAGATTCCCTGGAGCAGGAGTTAGAGGGGGCTTTGAGCCACTTAGTGTGGGTGCAGTGAACTTCTGTCTTCTGAAAGAGCAGCTCTTATACACTGAGTCACCTCTGTAGCCCTTTATGTTTGCTTTTAAACTGGCCCAAGATCATCTTTGTATGGAATTTTAAAAGTAAATAATTTTTGTATAATTTTATACATAAAAATGTTTTAATCAATTGAAAGATCTTAGGATTATTTATCTTTGGTACCATATATTTTGTCTTTTAAAAATCATTATAATCTGGTAAAAATTGTTTTGCAAATATATTTTGAAAGATACTTTAAAAATATGTTAAATTTATTCTTTTACAATTTCATACATGTATATAATAATGCATTTTCATCATAATCCACCCTTCCATCCCCATTTTTTTATCCCTCTCCCACTCAATCAGGAACCCTTCTTCCCAGTATGTCCCCTCTTAATTTCATGTCTTTTTTTACATAACCCACTGAGTTTAATTAGGGCTGCTTGCATGTGCATAAGTATGGACTTATTTACATGAACACCTTTCTACTGCCTACATCCCTAAAGAAAAATGACTGCCTCTCTTCCAGAAGCCATTAACTGCTAGAAGTCCTGAGCTAGGGTGAGATCTCATGTGTCCCTCCCCCATCCATACTGGTGTTGATGGGCTCAATCTTGTATGGATCTTGTGCTGACCATAGCTGCTGTGAGTTCATGTGTGCAATGACCTGTAATGTCCAGAAGACAACAGTTCACAGTAGTTCTCCCTATCCTCCAGCTCTCACATTCTTTCCACTCCCTGTTTCTGAGGTATTCCTTGAATCTTGGGGGATGAGGGTGATATAGATGTCCCATTTAGAGCTGATCACTCAACAATCACCTCATCTCAGCACTTTTACCAGATACAAATCTTAGCATTAACTACTGCCCACTGAAAATAAAGCTTCTTTGACAAAGGTTCTGTGGTTTTTAAACATAAATATTTAGAAATGAGTTTGATGTGTCCATTTAGCAAAACAATAATAGATTATTCCCTTAGGGCTCTAACTGCCCTCAGCCATGCCTTTTGACCAGATTTATACAATCAGATACAAATTATCTTCTGAGAAGTGGGCCTCAAGTCCAATCAGAATGTGGCTGGTTACCATCATAACATTCATGCCACTATTGCACCATTGGGCTCATCTTGCCTGGAAGGTCATTGTAGCATTCAGGGTCCACTGTTGGGTAAGACCATTTCCTCCACTGGTCTGTATAGCACCTTCTAGCATTACAAAACTAGCCTGCTAGGATTAAATTTTCAGGTCAGTTCCAGCTTGATTTCTCTTTGTTATGCAGCTGAAGTATATGGTATCTTCAGCAGTAGGGTCTTAATATTTAATTCTGATGGGCATCCAAGAGTAATAGCAATAGTCTGCATGTTTTAGGGCCTCCATAGCCAATGACTCACAGGGAGGTGTGAGACTCCTGTCTCCGTATATAGACCAGGCTGATCTCAAGTTTACAGTCCTCCCTCCTCTGCATCCTGAGTGCAAGTTTATAAGCATATACACTATAACATCAGTTTTCTGCTGTTCATTTTAAATGGTGGTTTATTAGTTGACTCCTTGTAATTATCTTGATCAATGTTTTAATGATTAAAAATACTTCTGGATTATAAACTATACATAAAACTTTTAAAACCAAATTTAAAAGTACATTTTCTTCTTACTCAACAGTGTAAGACAAATGGAATGCAAGCCTTTTCTCAAGGTCTTAATGAACAGCAGCAACATCAGTCTCCAGTTAAAAAAGGTGAAGTTTTACAAGACTTTTCAGATTTTTATCACAGAGTATCTTTGCTATTCATATAAAGTTAACTTATTTTGTGATTTGGATATAGATTTATATGGATAAGAAATTTTATTATATTTTTAGCTTAATTCCTCTCTGGATTGGTCATTGTAGTAGCTTAACTGCTGTAAAGGCAATACCAGAATAACAGTGGCCTAAACAAGATGGACGTTTATTTCTATGCTTTATATATTATTCAAACTCTGAGAATTGCACTGAGTAGCTCTGCTTCAAGAAGTCCGTGCTGCACCAGCATCCTCTTGTTTCACTGTTTATGCCATACTCAACAATGACTTCTATCTCATGACGCAAGATAACTGCCCATGCTCCAGCTCCCATGTCCTATGTCTAGCCACCAGGAAAGAGAAAAGAGGCAAGTTAATCTTAACACCATGACCCAGCAGTTGCCTGTGTTACCTCTTTCTATTTCTAGAATTTAGTTATGCTGTCTGTAGTGACAAAGCAGACTGGGACATACATGTAGTCTTTAACTGAGCAAATGGTTAATTCTGTTACTGAAGCAGAAGGAAACAAACACTCTTGGGAAAGATCCAATAGTCTCTCCTATACTAGAAACATCTGTAAATATATTCTTTATATTATTATAACTGTATAAATATGACTGCCTAGGCAAGAACAGCATATCTCCTTTTTCACACGATGCTTTATTTTCTTCTGGAAATATTGTTTGCTTTGTTTTTGTTTATAACTTGCTAAATATTTCACTCAGATGCTCAAATAATGCTAACACTATAATGGAGTTTATCAATTCTTTATTTTTTTTCTCATAGAAAGGGCTTTCCTTTCAGAATCCCCTTTATCCCATTCCAGTATAGACTAGTTCTTCCATACCACTGTTTATCTTTTGTCATAGAATAAATCTTTACTTTCATAGGACAGCCCTTTCAAGTTATTTGATTTCTTTTGGTCTTCTTTCCTCCTCTCTTCCTGTTTCCTTTCAAAACTGAAGCAAACATTGTCATTTTAACTACTCTGTAAAGTAGGATTCTATAGTTTTTGTTACAGTCAAAATGTGCAACCATCATTCTTACCTAACTCTACATTTTTGTTATTCTTGAAATAAGCTGCTAAATGGGTCCATTTAGCACTTAATCCTCACTTTCTCATCATCCTAAGAACTGATAAATTCAAATCTACTTCTCTTTGTATGGATTTACCTTAATTATGGGCATCCCATAAATGGAAGTAGAGAGCATTTGTTATTTTCTCTTGCTTCCTTTTCTATGAGGGTCATACATGTTGTACATGTTTCAGTATTTCTTTTTATGACTGAGTGGTATGCTGTTGAGTGGAATATGCCACATGCTTATCAACTTATCAGGTGAAAAGTGAACATTTGGGGTGCTTTCCCTTTTTTGGTCATTATGAATAAAGTTGCTATGGAGATTTATATGTACGTTTAAGAATATTTTCTTGCATTTCTCAGGTATATGTCTGGGAGTAGTCTTAATAAATCATATGGTAATTTTGTTTTCAACTTTTTGAGGAACTGCCAAACTGTTATTTACAATTTTCCATTCTCAGTAGGATTGCACTAAGGTTCCAATTTCTTGATATCCTTCTTGTCATTTAAAATGATAGCCATCTTAGTTGGTGAGAATTGCTAACTCATTGTGGTTTTGATGTGCACTTCTCTTTTCATGTGCTTATTGGTTATTTATATTTGTTCTTTGGAAATGTGTCTAAGTCTTTAGACGATATTTGGTTGGATTTGTCTTACTGATTTCTAAGAGTGTATTGGTTACTTTTCTCTTGCTCTGATGAAGCACCATGAGCAAGGCAACTTAGAGAAGGAAGAGTTTATTTGGCTTATGGTTCCAGAGGGATTAGAGTCCATCATGGCAGGAAGGCATGAAAGCAGAGGTGGGCAGAGCAGAAAACTGAGGGCTCACATCTTCACGCACAGGTAACTGAGACAAATTGAAAGTGGGACCAGGCTATGAACGCTCAAAGTCAGCCTCAATGACATACTTCCTCCAGCAAGGCTGCACCTCTGAAACGTTCCATGACCTTCCCTAAACAGCACCACCAGCTGACCAACAAATACTTGGTGCCCATGAGGAACATTCTCATTCAAATCATCACATGCCACACCCTGACCCCCATAAGCTCATGACAATATCATAATGCAAAAATGCATTTAGTCCAATTTAAAAGTCTCCATAATCTTTAACATTCTCAGCACTGTTCAAAAGTCCAAAGCCTCTTCTGAGATGCAGGGAATTCTCTAAACTGTAACCTAATGCAAAAATAAAAAAGCAAGTTACATACTTCCAACATAAAATGGAACTGAATATACATCCCCATTCCAAAAAGAGGCATGGGGCGGCATAGTGGAGAAATACAGGCCCAAAACAAGACAGAAACCCAACAGGGCAAACACTATATCACATCCTGTGTCTCCATATCTTATGCCTGAGATTTTAGTTCCCAAAGGCTTAGATGACTCAGCCCCCTCCATCTTTGCTGCTTACAAACATGCATTTTTCTCTTGGGTTTGTACCACTTCCTGTATACAATTCTCCTTGGCAGATGGTTCTGGCATCTCCAACATCTTGGGGTCTCCACTGCAAACCAGGTTTGACCTTCACAGCTTCACACCATGGCCTCTCAGGGCTTCTTGGCCTCCCAGTGCCTTCTTTTCATTGAGACTCCCCTGCTATACAATGTCTTGTCTCAGGAAGAATCAATGACCCCCTCACTCTTGAATCTTTCATGTCTTTAAAGGTAGCACCACATAAGTACATTGCCAAGTTATGCTATCATCTTGGGATGGACTTTGGTCCCCTTCATCTACAATACCAGTAACTTTTGTACATTATGGTTTTCCAGGAGCAGAAGCTTAGCTGGGTGGTAGTCTTGCCCTGAGGACAGGCTTTCCATTGCTACACTGAAGAAAAGGAAGCATCTCAGTAATGGTGCTAATCTCCTTAGCAAAGAGGGCCTCTCTTCCTTTTGTTTCCTAGCTCTCTTTTCCTTTTCAAATTATATTTTGTATTTCTTTCTGCCCAACTTGCTCTTTTCCATTGTAGACACATGCATAACATTCACCATTGTAGACATATGCATAATATTAACCATTTATAACCGTACCATAGATTCAGCAGTGGGCTGTCTTGAAATTTCCTGTGCCAAAGAAATTAGTCCATTATGTTTTAATTTAGCCACAGGTAGCCAGATTCTTTGCCAAAATAACTCAGTTGCTGTTTAAGTCCTTGTTTCCAATTGCCCTCAGAAACATCTTCAGCTGGGCCTCGACTAGGATGGCCCATTAAGCTCTGCTTACAACATTCAACCACTTTTCTAGTCTAGACTTCCAAAGTCTTCCACATTCCTCCAAAAAACAGCATGGTCAGGTTTTCACAGCAACAGTGCTCTCACTTTCTCTCTTTCTCTCACTCTCGCTTTCCCTCTCCAACTTCTGCATTTGTTGCTTTTCTGTTGCTGTGATAAAACACCATCACCCTTAAAGGGTGTGACACTGGGTAGGTTAACCAGGCACCAGTGGATGAACCCACACTGAAGGGCATTTAGGGACACAAATTTGACTCAATAAGCCTTAAAAAAACACAATATATATAATAGAGTACATGAAATCAGGTGGAGGGTAATGAGGTGCAGATAGGATGGGGGATCTAAATATGATCAAAATAATTGTATATAATTCATAAAACTTCAATTCAAAATAAACAAAAGACACCATGACCAAAGCAACTTAGAGAGGAAAAGTTTATTTGGCTTACAGTTCCAGAGGGATGTGACCATTATGGCAGGGAGGCATCTCAGCAGAGGTGGCTGGAGCAGAAAACTTAGTCTTCACATCTTCAAGCATGAACAGGAAACAGAGACAGACACACTGGACCTGGAAGATACTCATTCAAACCACCACAAAGAGATTCTTTCCATTTGGATACTAACCCTTATCAGATATATGATTTTCAAATGTTTCTCCTGTACTTGAACTTGTCTTTTCATTTTCTTCTTTTAAGGCACAGCATTTTAATTTTGATGAAGTCTGATTTGCACTTTTTTCTTTCATTGCTGTTTTAGAATTATATTTTTTAAATTATCCAGTCTTATGAAGATTTATCATTGTTTCCTTCAGTATTTTATATTTTTATAACTTTGAGGTTTTGGTCCATTTTGAGTTCATTCATAGATATTATGAGATAAAAGTCCAGCTTCATTGTTTTCCTGCGACTATTCAGTAGCTATGTGGTAGTCTCTTTATTTTTCCACTGAATGACCTTGAATGGCGTTGACACCTCCGTTGGTAATCAGTTGACACAACCATAGATGTTTGCTCCTGTACTCTGAGTTTCCTTCCTTTGTTCTATATTTTCACCCTTCTGCCAGTACCACACTGCTTTGATTACTGTAGCCATATCGTAAGTTTTGATATTTGGTAGCATAACCCCCCACCAACATTATTCTTTTTCAACGAGATCATTTAGGCTATGTGGAATTCTTTGAAATTCCATGTGATTTTTAGGATCAGTTCCTCCATTTACCTAATAGAGGCCATCAAAACTTTGATAGTGATGACACTGAATCTATAGATCATTTGGAAGGAATATTACCAACTTAAAATACCATGTCTTCCAATCAGTGATCAAGGCACATGCTTGTTCCAGCTGGTACTATCTCTTGGTGCAGGAATATCTGACAAATAGATTAAGCTTTTAATATTATGGAGTTCAGAGAAATCTGACCTTTACAGTTGTTTACTAGCTTATTGCTCTTGCGGAGGGGCACACTTTTAAAGTTCCTGACTTGACTTTTCTGTGACACCACTCATGTTTTGCTTGATTCTCATATTTTCTTCCTTTTTAAATTTATTTCCTCATTTTGCTCAAATGCATTCTTTCTTTTTCTTTAGACCAGGGTATCCCTGTAGCCCCAGCTGGTCTGGAACTTGCTGTGTAAACCAGCTAGCTTCAGTCTCATAGATCCACCTGCCTCAGCCTCCCAAGTCCTCGGATTAAAGGTGTGTGCCACTATGTTGGCTCAACTTCAGAAGTTTGATGCATTCTTCAGAAGTTTGATGAAGAAAAATATCAAGGACCAGAGAGATGACTAGTGGTTAAGAGCGCTGCCTACTCTTGCAGAGGACCTGAATTCAGTTCCCATATGGCAGCTAACAACCATCCATAACTCCAGTTCCAAGGAATCTAATGCCCTCTTCCAGCCTCTGTAGGCATTGCATGGCATGGGTTCACTTACATACACACAGGCAATACACTCATACACATAAAATAAACAAAAATAAAATATTTTTTAAAATATCAAGCAAGTGATTTCCCCCCAGGTTTGTCTATTTAAAAACAGATTCCTTTATTCTACTGTCACACTTGATTGATAGTCTTGCTAGGTAAAAAATGTCATTTGAAGATGCGTTCTCAAACATGCATACCAAGTGAAATAAGATATATGAAAAATTTGAGCTATTTTAAGTTTTCATTTATGTGAACCATCTTGAAAAGGCAAGTCTGTAGAACTGTAAATTAGAGGAAGGGTGAACTTAGTGTCAAGACTTGATATCTGCAGTTGGAATATTTTTGTGCATTTGTTTGGTAATTTTTCTTCATTTTCTCTGTTCCTTTCTAAAGCTCCTATTTCAGCCCATTATATTAATAACATTATTTCACTAGAATTGACTCGAATTTTCTGACATTTCCTTAATTATTTTTCACCTTACCTTTCCCCCCATTCATAGTTTTCCTTGGTTTCCTTTACCAGCATCAGAATCTGATTCGAAATTATTAATCCTAAGTTCTGGGTCAGTGCTCATTTCTATCACTGAAAGCGTCTTTTAAAAAAGTTTATTTTTTAGCTTTAGATACTTAAGTGACAATTGAATTTATTCTTATAATTGTTTTAATAGCTTTTGTATAATCCTCATCGCTATTATGTGATATAAAATGTATTTATCAAATCTGTAATCATTATGCCAAAAAATCTGAATTACTGTAATATTTTGTATATTGTTAAAACTGTAACTTTAATTGTAAAAAAAATTTAAAATAAAAATAAATAAATAAAAAAATAAAAAAGTTTATTTTTATTTTGTGTGTATGAGTGTTTTGTCTGAATGTAAGGTGTACTGCATGCCTGCAGTGCCTGCAGAAGCTTGGAACTGGACTTATGGATGATTAACCGTCATGTGGGTTCTGGGAACTGAACTTGGGTCCTTTGTGAGAGAGCCAGTGCTTCTAACCACTGAGCCTGCTCTTCAGCCCCTCAAATTCTTATTAGTCAATTTTTAAAGCATTACAGCAGCAGTAGCTACCTAGTCACTCTCTTCCCATCTTTCCTATTATCCAAATTTAAAATCTCCTACCCTCAAACTTCTATCCCTGAAGAGTTTTATAGAGATACAATTTAGACGTTATAAAAATAACCATTTTAAATATATGCTTTATTGTCTACTTGATAAATTTTCAAGAATTTTATAAGCTTTACTTTATTTCAGTTTTAAAATCTCCATCACCACAAATGCACTCTGTACATGTGCATCAGTCCCATTCCCACACTCAATTTCAGGCAGCTTTTGCTATTTCTCATTTCTAGATGTTTCATGTCATTGTATCGTAAAATACGTATTTATTTGTATATAACTGCTTTCACATAGCAGTTTTTAAAGGTTTCTTTACATTTTGGCATATATTACATTGAAATTAGTGAATAGGAATTCCATTCTATTTTATCAATTTTAATTACTATGATTTTTTTATTATTGTTGATAATGCTCCTATGAATATTTGTCTTTGTGTGGGTTTATTTTCTTTCTCTTAGTTAGAATAGCTGACAT